GTCTTGTCAGAGCCGAGGTGACCCGCTTCGTCATGGCCCATGCGGAGTATGGCTGGCCGCATGGCGATGGGGATGCAGATGCGACGACGACCCAAGGAGTCTTGATGGAAGAGCAGTTCGTCTTGGTAGATGAACGACTTGCAGCCTGGTTGTCCTACCAGGGGGGGTGATTTTGTGAATAGAAATGGGGGGTGAAATCACGATGTGCAACGGGATGTGGGGTGGGGGTCATTTATACCGGAAACCTTTTTTTGAAAAGGATTCTTATTCTCAAAACTATTTTTAGTTTAAAATATATGTTCTCGGCAAGACGCAATATAGAATGGAGCTTTCTAAAACCTTTTAGGACGGCCCCAGCCCTCTGATGATGGAGGGTACAGCCTCCATAAATTAGGGGGTGAGGGTACTTGTTTTTGTGACTGAATGCAGCGGTGACGCGCGATCTGATGGATAGGGGTGGAAATCTGGAGACCCGTGGGGGGTGATGGGGTTATGAAGGCAATGATTCGATGATGCCCTCATTTACATATGAGTCTACATAAATCATCTCATCTCTCTGTCCAAATCCAAATCTTTTGAACTTCAGCGAAGGGCATCAAGCATCCCCCAGATACCGAAAAAATGTTCTTTCAGAACATTCATAAAATAGTTTTTAGAAACAGTTCGCAAAGCGCTGTGATTTCAAGTGCGGGAGATATAGAAGCTGTAAAGAGACCAGACCAGGCTCGACCACCCCTTGTATTGTCTGCCTTTTCCACCACCCCCACATCAACAAGTTCCCCTCAGGATTGATATTAGATCAATATGGTAGGCAGCTCTAGATAATAGGTATTTCGTAACTAAAGCACGGCGGGCCCGGAGGTCCGGTACAATCGGAGATGCTGGGTTCCAGAGTCGGAATCGAACGGTTACAAAACGTTAGAACTGTTTGAAAGCCGTTGTCCCAGAAATAGATCGACATGGTGGAGGGAAGGTTGGGCAAGGAAGCAGGGAGGGAGAGACGGAGGGAGAGACAGGTTACAGACACACGGATGAATGCCTTAGCAAAAAGATGACGGGAAAGCGAAACGGTGACAGCACTAGGTCATTGTGGAGGAAGGAGATCGGCAAGAGTGAAGGTTGTACGGCAGAGGAGGAAGTCAGGGCATGAAGGTGAACTTGGGATGAAGTGCAGGAGAATCGAAATCAAACTATGTGGAAGTATCTTTGCTGAGATAAAAGAAGAGATGAATATTACAAATATGAGCTGCAGCAGAGAGGAAGAAGTGCAGCAGGAGTGTCCTGCTTTGAAACTAGACATTGGTCGTAGATGCGTCAGCCAGAGACTCCGACGGTGCATGCCGTCTGATGATTCTTCTTGCACTGCAGATGTTCAGCAATCTCCAACGCTTCCAATCTCTCTCTATGATGCCCATTGCCCCGGGCGGTTACTTTGCGGAGAACTCGGGCCCAGCAGAGGAGGGGTGAGAGAGGGTAACTTTTTTATGTGTGCTGCTTACACGGACCTGCGCAGCGACCGGTTTGACAACATGGTGGTTGGAACCAACGATAGCTCCATCCAAAACTTGACAGTGGGAGCTGTAAGTTTGTGTGCTTGCGACTTGACTATGCGTTTACATTGGAGGGCAGGGGCTGAAGGGATCAAAGAGCAGCGCTCATCTGTGAATGTGCGTAAGGGAGGATGGTTGAGCGCAGTCTGCTCTCTTGTGTTCTAGTCAGGTTGAAATTATGAAATCAAGTAATTCCCAAAACGTTCACAGTCAGTTCCTGACAAGTATTCGACTTGAACATGTATCGCATTCTTTTCCCGTATTTCATAACTCCAGAAACTGAAGACAATGTCACGATTTCTGAGTATCAAGAAACACATTCACATTTCTAATCTCAGAGACGATCCAATCCTGCTCAGCCTGCAAGTCGCGAGGAGATACAGCAAACGAACGAGATCAAGTCGTGTCAGACAGAAAAAAAACCGAGGGACATGGTTCTCACGAGTTCCAGGTTCTGACCGAACGTGATAACCTCCGCACCCGCCACCATCCTTATGCACCTGTTCGACGACAGACTCCTCACCTCCCAGCAGCTCGCATCATTAAGAGGCCCCGCTGACCTGACCGGGTTCTCGTTGATGTACCCACTGACGAAGAGATCGACTTCGGTCAAATCCGACGTCTTCCCTGTTGTCAATCGCCCTCAATCCCCCCTGTCAAATCTCCCCTGCCTTCTCACCGCTCCTCACTTTGTACTCAGTCCCTCCGACTATCTCCTCCCGCAGCGAGAACTCGTCTCGGTCCATGTTCAACCTGGTCACCTTGAGAGCCCCCTCATCCTGCCTCGACCATCCACCTGACCCCCACCAACGCTGACTTGAACGTGTCCTGCCGGCCCCAGTCACTCTCCTTCTCTCATTCACTAGCTGCTGCACCCTTGCGAGTCTCGCCCCCACGATCCAGAAGGGGATGGAGAAGGCGGTGAAGAGGAGGGGAGCTCCTCCGGTGATGGCGCTCACAGTCCACATGCCGATGCCTTCACGCAGCTCTAAAAATTTCCTTCCCTCCCTCCTGCCACCTCCCCCCCTCCTCCCTCCCCTCCTCCTGACGTACCGAAATTCCAAGCGACTGTGAAGCCTCCGGTCGACAGGGTGGACGAGCTCATCCCATCCTGAGTGCGAGTCACTGCCATGGTTGCTCGAGGAGGGTCTGACCGCAGGGACCATCAGCTGCAGGGAGTCGAGGCCCCTGATCAGCTCGACCTGGAGGATCGAAGAGCGTTAGAGGAGCCGAGAGGAGAATGCTCCTTGGCTGACTTTGGTGTTCGCTGGCTTTCTTGCGGTCTGGGGGGGGGGGGGGGACAGCTGTCAGCTTTTCCTCAGCTCGCACATCAATTGCCTGCACGGTCGGAAGTGAAGTCACTAGGGCTTCCTGTGAACACACGCGCTCGTCATCGTTGCTACTCTGCACTTCGACCCTCTCACTGTCTTGGCACTCGCCGCTTGCTTGAGAGACACCAGGGCACTCTGAGGGCTCCGGAAGACTGGGCTGTTGAATGCTGTAGGAGAAGCGATAAGGAAGAAGAGGGGAAGAGAGGATGGGTCAAAAGTGTGGATGAGGGAGGAGGGGGCAGAGCAAAGAGGAGGACGGGAGGGAAGGGACAGAAAAAGACCGAGCATTTCATCCACGACTTTGGCCAGCCTTGAGCTCATCACCACCTGCAGTTGATGAGCCCCGACACTCCTGGCGCCTCTACAACCTCCCCACGAAACCTTATTGACATCATTCCCAGCCCAGACTTCTCCTGCACCAGAAACTCCACGGGGTCCCTTGGGTGCAACGGTGAGCTGCAGACAGGACGGGCGGAGTCAAGACCTTCCAGAGAGCATGCGCAGCATCACAGCTCCAACGGAGAAGACGTCATCATCTGAAGAACAGTCATGCTCAACCTTGCTCCCCATGGGCTTTCCTGCTGACGGTGGTCGGAGGAGGGAGTTAGGAGGAAGGTAACCCTCAGCCAGCGCTCTCGTGCGGGATTTGTCGTCGGGAACGAACCCAGAGAGCCAGATCCCTCGTCCTCCTTCATGGGAGTGAGAAAGCCCTCCAATGCCTGCCTCCTGCCTCTCCCTCTCCAGTCCCCCCGTCCCTCTCTTTCAGAACGATCTGTCCTCATCCTCCCATCCTCCTCCTCCTCCCATCCTCCTCCTCCTCCTGGTGTCAACCTTCTCTCCTTGACTCGGCGGAGATCAAGATGTTGTCAGGAGTGATGGCAGAATGATACACGGGCGGCCTCTTCTCGTACAGCTCCTCCATGATCTGTGAAGCAGCGCGGGTGAGATCGAGGCCCCTCGTCTCCCTCCCGTCAAACCTCAAGGACTGCAACCCCGATCTCCATGATCTCTTCCTCCGTTGGTCGAAGCCCCTACCGGAAACTCGGAACCATGAAAGGCAGACCGGGTGGGGGGGGATAGGAGGGAGGACAGGGAGGGGAGACACAGAAGGGAGGATAGGGAGAAAGGGATGAGGGAAAGGAGGGGAGGAAAGAGGAAAGAGAGGAGAGAGAAACCGCATCGAGCAGATCTTGTAGAGTGACATCGGAAGGAGACTATCAAACTGATCAATCAGCAAGAAGGAACGGGGGGCTGGAACCTCAAAGATCATGTAGTACGCCTTGTCAGATTCTGTGTCTGCTTCGAAGGACTGCAGCAGCTGTAAAACGATCTCAGCATCGCCCTTGCTCGCACTCTTGGAGACGAAGGACCTTCGGAACCCCGTCGACGCGAACATTCTGCGCGTCTTCGTCAAGGGCACCGGAAGGGCAACAGGAGGAGGTTGACTCCAGCTCACCTTGAGCAGCCGAGCCCGCTGTTGGAATTTATCTAGGAACTGTGGAGCAAATGAGAAGGAAGGATGCTGTACTGGTGCGGAGTGAACCTGCCAGTTCCCTCCCATCTGCCTCAAGGACAGACAGTGAATGCTCACTGCTGCTCCCGAGCTCTCTTCTTTCCCCGCGAACCTCCACGCAGGACCCTCCACCCCTTGGACGCCTGTAATGATCCATGCCGAAGAGCCTTGACGGACCACATCTCCGATCTGGTGGACGTTGCCCTTACAGCAGCATCAGGAGCAGCCGTAAGGTCGGAGCTCCCGCACCTTATCCTTCTCTTTCGCCTCCGCGTACTCCTTGGCAGCTTTTTCCATTCGGTACCATTGCTCGAACTCGCTGTCGAAACTCTTCGCCATCTCGAGTCCACACATCCTGGAAGGTCGCCGGAGGGTTCGGCGAAGGGGACAGTCGAGAGGAAGGTTTCTGAGTAGGGCAGAGGTCAAGATGAAGTAGGGGGGAGGCATCGGACTCACTGCCTTGTCCCTACGTGGCTGGGCCACAAACTTGGGGTCGTGAAGCTCAGACACTGATGGAGGAAGACAGCGTGAAGGGAGACCAGCCTCAGCTTCCACCTCATGCTCATCTGTCAGGTGAGGTGAGTTTGCCTAACTTTCTTCACACCCTACGCGACAAACGAAACGAGAACATGTAGAGTTGTAGTGTTCGTAGGGAATTCCTCTTACCACAAGAGGGAGAGAGAGGAGACAGCGCTCAGAGAGACGGAGAGAGAAGGGAAGGAGAGAAGAAACAAGAGAGAAGAGAGGAAGAGAGAAGGAAGGGAGTAGTCTGCTCATACTCGGTTTGGGGGGTGAGAGGGGGGCATCCGAAACATGAAAGGCGCCATTGAATAAGAAACTCGCCTGGAAAGATACCATCACCCTTTCAAGTTACCACTTTAAACTGACACCGCACAAGAAACAGTAGCTACCTATGCTCCTCCTGCTCCTGCTCTTGCTCCTGCTCCTGCCCCTGCCCCTGCCCCTGCTCCTGCCCCTGCCCCTGCCCCTGCCCCTGCCCCTGCCCCTGCCCCTGCCCCTGCCAGTGAGTTACTGTCAGTGAGCTACTTCTGCGAACAAAGTTCATGCAGAACAGAGGCAATCGGAGGCATCCTTCGTTCTCGTGCCAGCGGGGAACAGGGAGGGGAGAACAGGACAGGCGGGTAGAACTTGGAACGGGAGGGGGATGGAAGGGGGGGGGAAGGGATCAGTGAGAGGATGAAAGAGAAGCGGCAAGCAAGGGTGGGGAGGAGAGGATATGAGACTGCTGCAGGAAACAAGGAAGGCGGGAGGGGCGGGAGGGGCGGTGGACGCCAAGTCGGGCGACCATGTCAAGTACCTCAGACATGGACGAGATGGTTGAGAACCGCAAGAAGATTGAGAAAGTTTTACAGCAGAGGTGACGGTTCTGTGCTCATGAAACAAGATTCACTCCATGCTAGGTTGTCTGAGCTGTTGAAGATTCTGACCGACAGGGAGATCCGCAATCTGTCCAACAAGGGGAAGATACACAGGTGATGGGGGGAGGAGGAGAGGTGTTATACAATATCACAATCTCCGTGCAAACAGGTTTGACAAGGATCAAGTCATATCAGCGCATGGGGAGTTGGGAGACAGCTTGAAGTGTGTGGTGTCTGGTTCCCTCGAAGCCTCTTCTATCTACGGCCAAGGAGCGAACGAGATCTCCCAGCGCGTGAGTAATTCAACTCCAGCTGGACGAGAGGTGACGAGGGTAACAGGAGCTGACGCTGGGGAGGGGGAACACGTTCGGGGAGGAGGCGATCTTAGACATGCCGTATCCTGACAGTCCTGGCAATGTAGGGGAGTGAGAGATGTACAGGTGTGTCATGACCGTGAAGGCCCTGGGACCCTGTGAAGTTTGCTACATACATGTTCAACACTTCCGATCTGTGATAGGAAAGAACGCGGACGTGAATGCAGTGCTCAGGAGCTCTCTGACTTGGCAGGAGAAGCACAAATCTCCTCTTCAGATCCTCGCCCAGGTTTTGAATTGCTGACGATGCAGCTGATCTGAAAGTCTTCCAGCGCAAGTGTAAGCTGTTAGAAATTATGTCCGACGATGCGATCAAAACTTTGTCCAAGGAGGTTGAGAAGATGTATATTGAGTCAGACACGGTAGGCGTGGCAGTGGTTGGCAAGAGTGAGTGTTGGTCGTCAGTTGCTCTGCTCGCAAGGCGACGACGGCGACAGCATGTTCATCATCATCAAGGGATGTGCTCGGGCTACCTGTACCCGATCCATCGCGTTCCAAGATCCAACGACCAAAGAAAATTTGACGAAGACAATCGAGCTGGAGACGCAGGTAGGGTGACGTTCATTGAGCCTCCATCTCGGCTCGACCTGACCTGAGCTGGTGTTGTTCAGGTCTACAAGGAAGGTGACGCCTTCGAAGACGCATGCGTTGCTTTGGGCCAGCAGCGAATAGCAACAGTCCTCGCGCTGGTGATAGACACACTGCCCGTGATGACGAGGGTAAAGCTGGAATCAGTCAGGATCTTGTGTAGGGGTTTTGAAGAGAGAATCGATGTCTAGAGCTCTCATCAGCAACGAGCTCGTGAGGTCACAAGAGCACTGCTCCCCTTCTCACTCGTCGTGCAGATCAACTCCATGAAGCAATTCTACGAGGGCAGCTCCTCAGAAACCTTCATCGCGGAAGCGTTGATGCTCAGGAGCCCATCGGCGTGAGTAAGTGAAGGTCGGATCCAAGGGCGGTGACAGTCTGCCTCAAGCTTGTTCCCGATGCTCGATCATCGAGAGCTGCGGATGCTCGCGCTGGGGTCGCAGATCCAAGTCTATCCTGAGAATGCGATTCTCATCCAGCAGGGGAAGACCAAGTAGGATGAGCCCTCTGAGCGTGAGGCTGCTGACTCTCCCGAGCAGTCACAACATCTTCCTCATGCTGGAGGGAAGCGCTGCGATCCATGTGAGCTCCCCCTCCGAGGGCTACCAGGAAGTCGCACGAGTGAGGGATGGGCAATCCGTGAGACCCGCCCCTTGTCTGCTGGGGTTGATGACGTGTTGCAGCTGGGCGAGGTCAGCCTCATCTTGGGCTCTCGAGCAACCTCGACGGTCACGTGCACCCAACAAAGTTTCGTGGTTGAGATCCCCTACGAACGAATCGAAGGCGTCATCCTTGCTCGGCCAGACATAGTCGACCAGATGTTCCAGCTGAGAGTCAGCTGTCAAGAGAAGTGAGCCCGGCCGTGCTGACGTGTCGTGCTGATGAAGAGTCTTCAGAGGGTTCCTGTTAGAGATGATCGGCCTCTCCGACAGCTCCCTCAACGACCTCAACATCACCAACTTCCAGGCCGTGGGCGTCATGGCGTCGACCTACCTCGAGCCCCCCTTCCTTACGGAGTGGGAGGGCCTCACGGTACTAGGATGGAGCAAGGGTACCTGGTCTTTACTGGTCGCCGCAGGTGCAGATCGTTGAAATCTCTCCTCCGATCTTCGATGGCTCCGACTCGAAGAGGGGCAGGTGAGGTATCGCTATGAAGATGCCGCCTGACTGAGAAGACCTCAGATATCAGAGGACGAGCGACGTGCTGGATCAAAATGACTTTAGAACCATCTACAGGTGCCTTGATACCGAGACCAACACCTTCTTGGCATGGAACGAGGTCGAGCGATCGCAACACCTTTCAAGTCGTTCCGACAAGTTTCAACTCGGCAGGTTCCCCTGGCGAATCTTTCTTGCGAGCTCAAGATGCGCCTGCTGGAAGAAGTTCGCACCTGCCAACGCCTCACGCAAGAGCAGGAACCTCGTGCCATCTGACGTCACCTCCTGACCTTCATTTGCAGCCTGCAGTCTTTCAGTACGGCTTGGCGATCGACAGGCTAGGACGAGTCGCTCTTCGCTCCACTTGGACACAAGCTCTTGTACACGACTCGCTGCCCTGACAGCACCTGAACTGACGTCATGCAGCCGAACAAGGCGACAGGAAAGGAAGCGAGAGGGTCGAAGGACATACTGGAGCAGGTGCAAGGCTCTTCCTGCCTCCCCCTGCTTACTGAGGAGCAGATGGAGTCGAGTGTTGGGCTGTCTCAGACGGAGCTTGAGTCCATCACCGGCATCAGCGCCTGGAAGGCCCTCATGTCTCTTGTCTCCGCACGTGGACCAACTTGACACCTGCTGGTAGGCCCTGGGAGAGCGAGAAGCCTGTGGACTGGGAGGATGCGATCCCAGAGGAGTACATGTCAGCGGAGATGGTAGAGGCGCCATGAGTCGCCGCAGGGACCTGACTGTGTGTAGCTCGAAGAGAAGAGGAGGCGGGAGAGGACGGTCTACTTCTCTCCAACGCTCATCAAGTGATGCTGGGACGTGCTTGTGCTTGTGAGGTGACCGGGTAGATGAAGGTGCTTCAGCCAGTGGGAGGACTCCAGCAAGAACGTGATGATTTTCATCACTGAGCTCCTCGCTCCGAGCGGTGGAACTTCCTCGGCCCGACGAGGCTTCACGTGCTCTTTCACTTGCGCCATCATGCTTGCTCACAGCACTACATGCAGGTGCCTCCAGCTCGGAAACTGCACAGGACCAGGAGGAAGAAAAGATGCAGGACAGTGAAGGAGGAGGAGGAGGAGGAGAGGAGGAAGAGTGTACATGTGCTGCGGGCTTGATCTGTTTTATTCATTCGCGTTCTGAAAAGATTTGTCTGAGAACACAAAGGTGCATTGCCGCGGTAAGCATACAGTGAGAGTTCCTCCGTTGCAAGACAGGCTGCCCTCGTTGCAGGTGGAAGGGATTTCCGTACCGTCATCGTACTTCCCGCCATACTTGCTCGACTGTGAGCAGAACACCTCTTGGAAGACGCCATACTCCGCCCAAGCTCCGTAGTTGCCGAACGATTTCAGTCCCGCGTTGACAAGAACGTAGTACCTGTCCTTACCATCGCACCGCTCGAAGCCAATCACTCCGTTGGGCCTGTCCTCATGCAGCATCCTCGTCCCTCCGTACCTCAGGGCCCCGCTGCCTGCTCTCAGCTTGTGGATGTCGCGCAGCGCACTCATCATCTGCATCCCGATGGTATCCTTGGCCAGGTCCCAGCTGATCCTCCTCTCTGGCGTGCAGTCCCACCATCCTGGTTGCGCCCACTCTGTGCCCATGAAGCACATCGGCAGTCCCATCGAGGACACCATGGTCGAGTACCACATACGAGCGGCCGCGAGCGCCTTGCCGTCTGGTCTCCCGCAGAAACCGTACTGGTCGACAGCGTAACGATGCTGTCCTCCGATCTCCTTGTAGTCTTCGTAGTGACCGCCGCCATGGCGGCACCCACACTGATCGTGTGAGCCGAGGAAGTACTTGACCGTCTGGGTTGTCGAGCTGAACCCGTAGTGCATGCCAAAGGCGGTCCTGAGCTTCGGGATGTCCCACCCGCTTGCCCAGTCTCCTCCGCCATGGTGGCCTCTGCCCAGGGCTCGGTGCTGCTGGATGATGTCGAAGTAGCTGGAATGGATCCAGAGGGAGTCGAAGCCGCACTCGTAGATGGCCCTGGGGTTCTCCGGCGTCACCTCGGCGATGAGGATCTTGCCGGGGAAGAGCTCGTGGCAGCGATGCGTCAGCTTCTGCGCCACATCCGTCGGGATGTCCAGGGCTGAGTCGAACCGCAAGCCGTCGCAGTTGCACTCGTCGAGCCACACGAGGCAGCCGCCCGTGAGCAGGTCGATCACCTCCGACTTCCACCATGCGTAGCCCCGCCCCCACTGAGTGTCGGGCGCCCCTTCATGGTAGATGCCCCCGTTGTTGTCCTGGCTCCATCCGTCGAAATCCCAGAGGATGTTCCCCTCTACTGCAGGATGATGCAGCACGACGTCGACGATCACAGCGATTCCTCTCTCGTGCGCCTGGTCCACGAAATGGCGGAACTGGTCGGCACTGCCGTACTTGGGATGCGTCGCCAGCAGCTGTCGGGGGTTGTAGCCCCACCCTCCATCGTGTGTCGAGTCGAACTCTGTGATGGGCATGACTTCGATGGCGGTGAAGCCGAGGTCCGCAAGGTGGTCGAGCTTGGCTTCAGCTGCCTCGAACGTTCCTTCCTCAGTGAAGGAACCGACGTGCATCTCATAGATGATTAGCTGGTCCCACGTTGGCGCCTTCCAATCACATCGCCACTTGTACTTTGAGCTGTCTTCCACGCACACACACCAGAACGAGTCGCTGGCCTCGACGCCTCTCGCGTAGGGGTCGCGGCGATAAACCTGTCGCCCGTCGCTGGTTGTGAGGACGATGCGGTAAGAATCCCCCGGGGAGATGTCGAGCTGGTCCTTCTCGAAAGAATCTCCTTGCCTGGTCAGCTGATGTGTGGCGACTTCTTCGCCCTGCTTGACCTCCAGCGCAACAGAAGCTGCATGAGGAGCCCATAGCTTGAAGTTCGCTTTACCTGATTGCCACCGCAATCCGAAGGGCATCGGGCTCGGGTTGACTGACATACAAGCGATATGCACACTGAAGAGGATCGTCATCGATGCAAGCCGTCGCCATGTCATCTCGTGATGTTGAGAGTAGGCAGGATCCGGAGGACGAGGGACTCTGCTCGATCAGAGCTGCTTCTGCTTCGCTGCAAGGAAGAGGGTTGGAACGGGGGGAAATGCCTCAGTGGGCGTAGCTGTCATATAAAGGGGCTAGCTTGTTGCTCCGGTGCCTGCAGGGTTTACCACCCTACCCCCAACACTGTCACAGTACAAAAATAGGAGGACTGTGGTAGCAGGACCCGTCTCTGATGCAAAAATGGTTTTATCCCAGTCGTTTTATTAGTCGGCGTACTAGTGTCCGTTACTTTGAGTAAAGAAGTGGCGGGATCATGCCTTGGGCCGGGCCCGACCAGGCGGCGAACAGTCAGGCCCTGAGGCCCGCGTGAAGCCGGGCCATTGCGAGACTGAGACTGAGAGGGCCCGGGGCTGCCGAACACGCTGAGGCTACGAGGGCGGGAGAACTTCCGCATGCTAAAAAGAAATCTCCTCTATTGCGAGGAGGACCACCCGAAGGGTCGCCGCGTCTGGGAATTGAACCCAGGTCTCCCGCGTGACAGGCGGGGATACTGACCACTATACTAACACGGCAGTCAGAAGCTCCTGATGTGGAGCTCGCCTTGGGGAGCAGGGGTGTCTCAAAGTTGATATAACAGGAGAATATGAGAGGTGAAGAGAGGTGAAGTGAGGTGAAGAGAGGTGAAGAGAGGTGAAGAGAGTGAGGTGAGAGTAGAGCAGAGTAGGTTGAAAGCAGAGTAGTGGAGTAGACTAGAGTAGGGAGAGGATATGAGAGGAGAGGATTTGTCGAACTGTTCGTTAAATGATCAATGGTGGCTAGAGCTCATGATGGAAGTGATGTACTCCACGAACTCTGACTTCTCTATCGTCCCGCTCTGCCAAGGACGTGAGGCCTTGAATCAGCGGGAGCTGGCAGCGTGAACACGGACCTGATCATTGTCGATCTCGTGCATGAGAGTACGGATGTCTTCCACGTCCCAGTTCTTGCCCTTCAACAAGCGTCACGCCCTCCCACCTCTCGCTCCTCATCGCAGGCGAGCTCGCACCAGGGTGGTGAAAGCCTCCAGCATTTCGTCCGGACAGATGCTGGTGGTGTCGGTCAGGGCCGCAGCAGGGCAGGAGCAGCAGACTTCACCTCCCGTCCCCGTCCTTGTCGAAGAGCTTCCACATGCGCTCTGCGATCGAGCTGGCAACTTGTGATCAGCCAGCAGGCTTGTCAAGGGAGGAGCTACCGCGGGTCCAGACTCTTCTTCGTCTCTCGGTTATGAAGGATCACCTGCGTGCCACGGTGAGGGGCGGCAGCTGCCTACGGACCAGCCTCACGATGCAGAACTCCTCGAAGTCGACGTCTCCTGGGAGGCAAGCGAAGTCAGGCGGGCCCATCGCTCGTGGAAGCAGCACAGACCGCTCCCGTCCGCGTCCATGAGATTGAACAGTCGATCCACCTGAAGAGCGAGGTCAGGACGCGCTGGAATTCACGGCAGCCACTGACCTCGTCCTCGGACTTGGACTGTCCCATGCACTGCAGGAGCTGCCCGGGTTGAGAGTGAGCAGGTAGAGGCCAGAGAAGCCTCGCTTCCAACTTTCCTCCCCTCCCTTCCACCCATCCCCTCCAAGCACCCCTCCCTCGATATCTACCTGCCCCAACTCTTCCCTTTCGATCGCCCCGCTGTTGTCCTTCATGTAAAAGTGAGGTCAGGGAGGTTTTCACACGGTGATGAACCTGGTCAAAGGACGAGAACAGCTCGCGAAGATCGTCGACCATGTGTCTGGCAACTCACAATGACAGGTTGTTCCACAGATCGGACGCTTCACCTTGTCTTCCTGTTATTGATTAGCTTCTCGAAGCTGTGGACACCAATGTCAAACTTCCTGCTCCTCCTCCGCTGCTTCCTACCTGGACTTCACTTCATTGGCTTTGAACAGCGTGTGAGCTGCCGATCCCTCCGCAGCTCCGGACGTCGCGCTAGTCAAACGCTGAGCAACGGATGGGCCGCATGCACTGAAGCGCTGCAAACCTCTCGGTTGCGAAGGCTTCTGCCTTGTCAATGAAGAACTTGATGACGACGATAAGTGAAAGAAAACTTGCTCTCAGAACAGCTCACCTGCAGCGACGACAGCATCTGCATCACTTTTCTCTGCTTCTGGAACTTCTGATGTTTGATCACTTCAACCTGTCCCGTGAAGGTCAAGGCAGACTAAACCAGAGGTGATGGGTTAACACCAGAATTTTCTCTGACTTCATGTGTTCGATGTTGGTCACCAGGTTGAGGGTCTGAATGGTCAACTAACGAACGATGAGGCTGACAATAGAGCAAGGCGAGAGAAGCACCGGCATCGTCAACAGCGTGAGAACTGGAGAGACAAGAGCAAGTCCTGCAAAGTTTGAGTGACTCTCTCCCTTCAAAGGATAAGGTTGACCGAGGACAAGCAACTTCCTTTCGGCGGGCAGGGCAGCTTGCAGCTCAACGAAGACCACGGCCAGGTTGATGACTGCAAAACCGAGAACAAATCACGATGAGAGAGATTGGTTCACTGATCCACCCGATCCGAACAAGAGCAACTTGCAAGCATGCACCATCACGCTCGGCCCATGGGACCCGAACCAGAACAATTGCTGAAGTTGGAGAAACTTCAGCTGTAAAAAAAGCACAGAAGGTGTAAGGGGATGCCTGATGTCTGTTCAGCCTTTGAGAAGAAAACATGGCAGAGATGGCTGGAGAAGAACCAGTCAACCAGGTCCCATGAAAACCCAACCAGATCCGCACGATTGTTTGGCTTTGAGATATGAAGGGAAGATCGTCGTTGGTATTTGGGCTCGCCAAGGAACTGGATCTGCAAGGGAAGCAGATGACAAATCTCACATGAAGAAAGCGCGAGAAACTCACGTGCAGTTGGTTTTGTTTTTTCTTGTTTTCTCCTGCCTGCTCCGGAGGATCTTCGTGTATCTACACAGTGTCGCGCAATTGGGGATGGGCGGGAGGAGGATATGAACCTCATTGTTGTCCAGCAGCGGTGAGGTGGCAGAACTTTCTTCCTGTTCAAAGTCTGTCTATCTCTCAGCTGAGCTCCTGCACACACTGCAAGAATAACCTGCAGAAGATTGGCTGAAAGGATCCTGCGATTGGAAGTCAATCATGTTGAACAAACAACAAGGAGAAATTTCTTTGAGCTTGACAAGCCAGTCAAGAAGGAAAAGCGGAGCAAAGAGAGGGGATGTGCACAACTCGGTGATTGACTGACCAGCATAGGTGGTAGCATCTCGTATCGGATGTTGATCTGGGAATACAGTCAGATCCATGCCAGACAATATTGCATTCTACAAGCTTCTTCTGGAGCGCAATTGCTGATACCAAGACAAGAAACTGGAACACGCATCAAATCTCTTTTGTTGTGTGAACAAGAGTTCTACTCACTTCTACTGCGATGAAAGTGAAGATGATTGCGAGGGGCTCGAGATAGTAAGCAAAGAATACCTGTGAAATGATTAGATCATTCATCAAGTTCTTTCCCATCTTGATTAATCACCACTCCGAAAAGAATCCACAAGACGAGCCAATCCACAGGTTTAATTTCGATGATCTTCGCGTATGTGTGCGCTAGAGTCAGCTTCGTTTCACCAGTCATTTCATTTTGAACAGCTGCATCCTCTGTCAAACCTTGAGATACATCCCAAAGTCAAACTCGAGGGGGATAATCTGCCACAAACAAGTTGATGAATCTCTGGTACTTCTCTCTTCGCAGCCTTTACGGTTTCGACGCACTCTTGATGGTCTTGGATAAATCTGTGACGTAGGCGATAAAATTCTGATCGAGCCTGCAAATTCTCACAATGCTGCTGCGGTAGAAAGAAATCGCAGACCATCCTGTCTGGCTTGATCCATTCTCCATATAGAGTTCCGCTATGCTTCCATTCGTTCCTAGTAGTATCTACGTCCTCTGAATACAAACTTTTAGACCATTTGAAGCCTTACCAACATTAAAGCTCATAAGGTCAAACAAGCTTCCAGAGTAACCCGCGCTCTGCAGAAAGTTCCTGCAGGCCATGAGGTTGCTTCGCACGATGAAAACAACTGTACTTCTTCTTCGTCTCGAGGGTGTCCTTGCCTGATCTGCCATCCAGAAAAGATCAACAACCCTTCAACAAATCAACTTAAATCATCACTCTGGTTGCTTCTGCGTGTACGATTTGCTCTTCGTCAACTCATATTCCCAGTCTGCCCATTGCTTCGACTTCAGCAAGGTGACTCTGAAGATCAAGTCAGGGAAGAGAAGGACTTTCATATCTCATAACCTCAAGAGTATGAGGACGGTGAAGATGAAGACTACAGAAACTGCAAACAGCTGTCGAGCCAGCCCACCAGGGAAGCAAGTGATTAAAACACACAAATATATCCTAAACCAACGCACCAGGAAATGTAACCCTTCGAAAATTTCTTGCAGCTCGCCCGGCTGCGCAGAAAGTCAGGATAGAGCTGGTTGCTACAGGAAGAGATACTTCTCCAAGAAACTTCTCTGACAATCTTTGCATGATCTGCCGTTCACAATTACTCGTGCAGACACGTCTCAATCCAAGCAGGTTCCAACCGAACAGGCCCCTTCACATGATTTCTGAAAGTTGTCTGTGCGACAAGTCACCCGAGAGTTTACCCATGACATGAGAGCACACAAGTAAGCGTGAAGGCTATAGCTCCAATGAAGCCAAGAGTCGCTAACTCCGAGAAGAAGGCGTCCATGATGGGCTGGAAGGTCAAAGTGTGAAACACCGACATCATGGCACATCGGAAGACCTCGAAAGCCTCTGGAGTATTCGATTCAATGACTTCTTTACATGTGTCGAACAGAATGGAGAGGATCTGCCGAGACTCTCCATTCAGCTGACAAGAAGAACAAAAGCAGCAATCACCAATATGACACTGATCAGGAGGAACGGCCAAATATTGAACTCTGCAAGAGTACGCTGAGTGATCGGTCCAGGGATGAAGGAGCGACGTCCTTACCTTCAGCTCCCTCTTGCAGGAGGACGCTGTTACTAGCATCATGAATGCCGAAAAACGTCCATGATTGTGAGCTGAAGAGATCCATGTCTACCTTATGGACAAGGTTTGGGGGTCCCTTTCAGACTGGCAGCTGGGCATCAAGTGAGACTTGAGTATTATGTTCTATCCCACTGCCCCATGTGACCTCACCCTCTCCACCTCGCTTCACCTTTTGTTAGGAACTATATTCCGTCTCATACCACTCTTCGCACCGATACCTTTTTGCTCTGGATATAGTAGTATTCTCATCTTCTCGTCTTCTGCTGCTGTGCTGTGCTGTGCTGTGCTGTGCTGTGCTCTGCTGTTTGTGTCTCCCTCTGTTTCCGTCTCTTTCTCTTCGTCTTTCTCTGCCTCCGTCTCCGTCTCCGTCTCCCCCTCATCTCTCGCTGCTCCCCCTCCTCTCTCGCTGTTCCCCCTCCTCTCTCGCTACTCCCCCTCCCCCATCCCTGCTTGCCCTGTTTCGCGGGATTTCCTCGCAAAGAGAACCCACCCTGCCTGGAACCAAATGACTAGTTTGAACCTCCCCTTTTTAGTACCCCTCCTTTGCCCTGTCAGCACTACTCAAAATGAACACCCCTACCCATGCACAAAGTACCCTACCACCACTGGTTCACATCACTTCAGGACTCAAGAGGTTTTTTTCCGAGAGTCCCGACTCTCTGCCTTCGGGTGTCATCGATAAGATTGAGTGACCTCAATTGTTCTGCCCTCAAGATTTTATATCTTATTTCTTGAGGCGGACTCTGTCAAACTTTGAAGCGAGCGGATGTTTCCGAGTCACAGCTAAAACGGTTTGATCTTTTAGTACCATTCTGTAGGATTTCGCCCAGGAAAAACCAAGGAAAAGTGGCTTTTTGTCAGTTCTCGATCTCCCAGTACCGGTTATGACTAATGACCCGGTGGTTTCCCCTGAATAAGGGGGTGGTGGTACCTGGATTGTTTGAGAGGGGTCGTTGAATTAGTTTTTAATACAGCGTGTTTTTGTTCAAATATCTGATAGCTATTCTTGTATGAGTCAGTTAGACATTTGTATTATCTTCGTTTTATTTATTTTTATATATATAAACACATACATGATGTTTACATATTGTTACCAGGAACTTCCAATCCCGTACAGAATGTCACAACATACCGGTACTGCTTACCCCAAAATCTAAGTGGGGTGGGTGGAAATCGTCCCACCGCAGCCAAAGAGGATTCATGATTGGAATGGCATCATCCTACAACAGAGCATGAGATTGTGATGATTGAGCAGAGTCTCTCGAGATCCCAAGCAATCTCTTTCTACAAGCAACACTGCATGGCAAGCAAGGATGCGAATTTCACCGTCAATGGGGCTTTGGCATGTTACATGCCGGGAGCAACACAACACAAGGAGTTGTCGTCATGTGTTATCTAGGATAAATAGTATCCTCCTCACTGAGTCATGTTTGGAAAGTTTTGAATAGCCTTGAAGATTTTCCTACAGATGAGCCGCCCAGTCATATTTACCTTCCCAACCCCTATGAAGCACATTCTCAGGTTTACACAGGATTTCTGTCAGAACCTGCAACAGTTAACATGGACACATGCAAACGTATGAAGAAGCATGGACACATGTAAATGTATGAAGAGGATGTTGCTTCTTCGAAGTTGGTATGAAAAGACTCGTGACAATGAAGAAAGTTTAGGCCAGGAAAAATTTGAGGAAATTTCCCAAATGCGTTAAGCTTTCCTCATAGCTGCATTGTACCATCAATCAGATGTAGGTAGCCTCATTTTAAATGTTCTAGGCAGGTGCTAAGCGGATGTTCCTCTATAAAATTTATGGTCTACGATACTGATTCATGCAACACTTGTGTCTTTCTGATCGAAATAATCAGATTGTCAGAGTGTGTTTCCATATGTTAGATAACCTCCTCCACTCAATATGGTAGATTGAATTCGAGCTTTTAATGATAGTTTACTAAACCAAAGTTGAGTGTCCTCTCAAATAAAGCTTGGTTTAACATCTCTGCATCTGAGCAGCAAGTGTGCTGCTTTTCGCTGCAAGTCAGATGTCAAGCTTTGCATCAACAATAATTTTCTGCGACAGAGCAAGTATTCAATTGAATCCAGGAATATATATGTCAAAATCAAGCCTGCATGCTTTTCTTGCTGGAATTCTATCTGAAAGTCTCTTGAGAAGCTAGTCATCTCTGCAGAGTATCTCTGAACTCTCCAGCGCGCAGT